ATATATAATGTAAGATTTTTTTGAATAAATATTATTAAAATTTAACTTTAAATTACAATTAAGCCAACATTCGTTTATAATTAAAAAAAACTACGCGCTAAAAAAATACGCTGTGTTTACCTTAGCATGAAAAGTCTATCTGCCAGGTTTTTTTCTTTGATAATTTAAGATTTTTAAAAATAAATATTATTATACACAATTTAATTTTAAATTATAATTAAAATAACGTTCGTTTTATATTTAATATAAAATTTATTTCTAATCTCGTTAATAAAAATATAATTAACATATTTAATTTTCTGCATTCCGACGGAAAAATTTACCTACTGCAAAGTAGATATTCGATTTTAGATGGAAAAAAAATAATGTTAAAATTATAACGTTATTATATGTCAAAAATTAATACAATAATAAAAATTATTGTACGTATCAATTTTGTAGGAGTATCTCAAGACATAATGTATAATGCATAATTCTGTTGATCTCGCAAGCTTCTAAATATAATGTATAATGTATTACGTAATCGTAATTTTTGGGTCATGAAACTTTATATGCGGAGCAGAGTGCAAAGTTGCTAAAACAAAATTCGATGAAATATTTATTAAAAAGTTTAACATCCGGGTTTTTTTTCCAAACTTATAAAACATGCTGCAGTAGCGAGGAAGTGAGCAGAAGTGAGAGAGGATTTTCGAACATGTTGCAACAGCTGCCTACACATCGTTTGCTCAAATAAAAAATCTTTCACTGTTAGAACCCAGTGCTTACATTCCCTTTGTCGAATCGACGTCGGCGATGTCGCATCGTCCGAGACGGCGGAAGCCATTATACGCGTTTTCCAGCTCACTCGTAATCGCGTTACAAGGTTCCTCGGGAGCAGTAACGTTAACGCGATCGATCGCGCCAAGTGAATCGCGTCATTCTCGAAGGGGGTCTCGAATTATTCGTCGTCTACGTCGAAAGTGGGGCGCGGGCAAAGTCTAGAATCGTTAGGAGAAATGAAAATAAATTGCATGGCTGGGTGGGTTCTAAGTAGGCCGTTGGCGATTTGAGTACGATCGGAGAAATGGTGCACGATAAAAATGCATGGTGTTTATTACGTCGTTAGACGAAATCGACTTTATTTTCTCATTAGATTAATATATGTATTCTTCCATTTGTTTGTTTCCTTTTTTAAACAACAAAAAAAAAAGAAGAAGTGTCTTGCCAAAATAATTAGTCCTCTAATTAGTCCTCTGATAGTGAATTTTCAAAAGATCTAAAAAAGTGGAACTGAATCTGACTCGATGTTGTTTTATTCATTTTTTTATTTAATCAATGTATAAAATAGATAAAAAGAAGTAAATAAAGCAGACATTTTTTTTTTAATTTTGCAAATTAAATAATTAATTGACTTATTAAATATTATATTGTTTAATTAAATAGTGTATTTCTTACTGCACTGACTCCTATACAGCAACTAACTCCTTTTTCGAATACTTTATTTTAAATAATATATATTGTATCATGATCAAATGTCTTTCTTTATTAAATAACGCATGAACGTTGTAAAATATACGAATCTAACCCGCCTTACTAAAAAAGGATTAATATAAATATAATAGGATATTTCACAAGAGAAAGGTAGTCCTTTTCAGTATTTCCGTGAAAACAATCTGCAATATATAAGGAAAGTCTTAATGTCGCGCGTATAACGTAAACCGGTGACAATAAATTTCGTGATTACGAAATTGTTGTCTCGTTTGTTCGCTGAGATAAAAAAACAAAGAAAGACTCGAGATATTTGATATCCCTTTTCCCGCTGTAATCTCGAATTTCAAAGTCGAGGACAGTTAGTGAAACTAGGAAAAGAATCTCGGCTTTTTTGAACTTCTTATATACCTCAGGGAGACGGATGTCGCGAATAGCTTTCCGAGAAAAGTTCAAATGCAAAAGCAAGCCCTCGATATTGAAGATATTGAATATCCGTAGATTATATTTTGTTTAAAAGACATGGGCTACAAGCTTCTTTATGGATGAGTTCGTATTGGACTGACTTATATAATGCAATTTTTGAAATCTTATTCTATCTCTACTGCAGAAATCGAACATCAATAAACATAAAACAAATATGTTTGTCCGAAGAAATATGTTAATTTTTTTGCTGTATTCATACAGCAAGAAAATTGATTTATAATAAAGTATCGAATAAAGATTTATATTTTTTTGCATGTATACATCATAGCATTATATATACATAATAGCATTTTTTTTAAGAATTCTTCTTTAAAATGAAACATAACATAAAATAGAAGCTAATTTCCTCAGGATTAACCATCTTATGTCCACCATGCCTTAATTAATAAAGATATTAATGAAAGAAAAAAAAGATCATTAATAACAAATTGCCCTTAGAGTATACTTTTTCCTATTTCAATTAATTGAATACATTAATTCCCCCTTTACTATATAGCCGACTATTTATCAACTTTCTTTGCTACAGATTTCCACGGAATTCATTGGAACTTTATTTTTATTAATCTGTCTAATCCGACTCTATAAAATACACTTTTCATCTTACCACCATTTTGGTTTTGAAGCAGCATCATGATATTGACAGTTTGTAGATGTAGTTTGATTATTCCTGTTTATCTCTTTTTACTGATGAAGATTTTAATAAAAACTTGTCAACATAACATAAAATAAAAAAGAACATAAAAACAAAATTATAATATATGCCATTAATTAATAAAAATATTTTTTCTTTTTTTTTATTAAGACCAAAATCGACAATTTTCTTTTAAAAGAGAACGTTAAGAAAAATAATTTTTTATCGCTAATTTCCAATTTTCATTATTTACATTATGATTAAAAAAATATTACGCTGATATTTATTTGGATATTAATTGAAAAATATTATTTTTTCGTTTATATTTTTCTAAATTTGTCTTTACGAGAAGGTTTTTATTTCCAATCTGTAACATCACATGCATATTTGTAATAGTATTAATATATTTTTGCAGGAAAAAATTCTCAGTTAATAAAAAAAATATTCTTATACTTTTACATCTATCTACGTAAAAAAGAACAATTTTTATCTATTATATTTAGGCATGTGCACATTTTTAAGTTATACTATATTTATCATGAATCATTTTATAGGTAGGAATTTTATAAATGATAAAATAGTGAATAAAAGCTCGTAAGAGTATC